TGCTTTGCTCATGTCTTGTACTATATGCTTATCAGTTTTCAATGGGGAAAACAACCTTTATAAGGGGGGAGGGGGGAAATATGTATATATGTATAATTTCTCAGATTCTCAAGGGCATTTTGCCATCTATGTGAAAACACCAGTACCCCTAAATTTAGTGGGCTCCAGGATGTCAACAAACTGCTTTGGTTTATCTTACCAATTAAATAAAGACCATAAATGCTCTGCCTATCATTCTCCATGACTAGTTAACAATAGAAGCACTACTAACAATTACTTAAACTCCAGAATGTTTTTCTTTGTTACCTCTAATATAAACCTGAGCTAAAGGGACCACATTTCTCATGTGGTGCTTAAGAGCATTTGCTGTATAACTCTTGTTGTTGTTACTGCGAGTTACCTGTGTATTGTCCTATGCACTACACTGATAATTCCCACAGTAATTTCATTCTGTAAAATTCATAGAAATGTTTCATTTTTTTTGCTTACAGGGCTGTGACTCCCAAATGAGCATGTCAGAAATGTCCTGTAGTGAAAGTACCTCCTCTTGTCAGTCTCTGGTACATGGCTCAGCTCCAGAAATCCTCATTGGCCTGCTTTATAATGCCACAACTGGAAGACTATCAGCAGAAGTGATAAAAGGCAGCCACTTCAAAAACTTGGCAGCAAACAGACCACCCAGTGAGTGAAAATCTTTTTTTTTTTTTTTTTTTTCATCCTAATACTTCAACACTTGTGACACTCTCAGTGGTGGGGACTTCAATCCTATCATTTAGTCTTACCCAATCAAAACGAAATAGAGCTATAATCAACTAATCTGTTTCATGTTTTATATTTCTAGTCACCTGGGAAATAGTGCAAATCTAAAACTGAAAATATTAATTGTAAGTTGACAAGACTATTTTAATTTTTTACGATGACTGCCTAATAAATTATTTTTACCATAATGATTAATTGCTAAATTATTAATGCCTTGCATCATGGGCCAAAAATACAAGTTCTAGTGTTTAAAGAAAAAGTGTGCGCCAACCTAATATTAATGTAAACTTGGTGAAGTTACTGCAGTTACTGGGAGACTAAATTGTATATGTGTATGTATGTGTAAATAATGTTATTAAAAAGTATTATTTAAATTTTAAAATGCTGATGAGGATCGGATAAGACCAAAGTCTCACTTTTGGTATGGGATGTTGTACACTTCACTTCTTACACTGGGAAATTAATCACCAAGTGCATTTGGGCAAACTTTTGGATTCAATCTGAGTCCATAAAAACCACTCAGTCACATTTAGTTTGAGAGAAATTTATGCCTAAAAATATTTGCAAGCTTTATAAATTTATATTTTTAGTCTAGTTTATTTGAAAGCTTTATCTGGAAGCTCAGATTTTGGACAGATTTTCTGTCCAAGAGTCCTTCATTTTCCTTTTGCTACATTGCTGGCTTAGCTAACAGGTTCCCAATGTGTAAAAGCAGTTTTCTCACTTTACCCTCTCGCCCCAGAGGGTTGTTCTCTCCTCTGACGTCTGAGTTAAAAGTGTATGCCTAGGACTTGAGAATCTCCTCTCCCTTCCCTGGCCCACTACTTACCCCATTCATTACCTTGGCTCACCATTCTGCATGGCATTTTCTTTCTGCAGAGATGGAGCTGAATTTAGTTAACATGTCTAGAGAAGGGTGATGATGAGAAGTGTTAGCCTGTTGCCAAATAGCTGTTCTCGAGATACCTGTTTGGAATCAACGTATAGTAGAGTTTATTAGGAGTTAGGGAGTAAGAGGTAGGGAAGCCTGATGCAAAGACAGGAAAGGAGGAAAAAGAATTGAAGAGGCAGAGGATCTCAGAGAAAAGAGAAGGATGAATGGGAGAGGGAAAACTAAAGCTTGAATTAAGGAAGGAGGATGTCTAAATCAAGAAAAGGGGAGAGGTGCCCCTAGGCTCACCTGGAGAAGAACATAAGTAGGAGGGACCCTGAAGTTTCCAGAGGCATGGAATAAGCTACATTTCACTGTAAAGCATGGTATGTAATAGCATACACCTCGTTTACTCAAATCCAAGATGACTTCAAATGTAAAACATTTGTGACACCACACCTTTCCCCATGATTAGACTCTATTTTTCTTATACTTTTCCATGTATAGAATCTAATTAGTGGAAGATCATCTTAAATTTGTCCCCTCTATTGCTGTGGCAGGGAAAGCAGTGGCTGGGGGTAAGGGGCCAAACCCATGCTTTTTGCTCCCCTGACCTCCTTTCCTGCCCCTTGTCTCCCCCGTGCCCGAGCCCCACCATATACTCCCCTACCCTTGCCCTTCATGCTTGTGTCTGCCCCCTCACTTCCTGCCTCCACCACCCACTGGTCCCCTCTGCAGCCTGCTGCCTCATCCTTTGCCCCCCATGTCTATACTTGACCCCTGCTGCCTGCCTCCCCACTCCCTGCCCACCCTACCTCACCTTCTGCTGCAGCTCTGCTCAGCTTCAGAGCATTCAAATAGCAGAAATAGCAGCAGTGAGTTCCTGGCCCAGGGCTAGCCAAGCCACAGAGAAATGGCGAAAGCTCCCAGCTAGGCCAGGTCAGGGATGGAGGGACTCAGAATGGAGTAGAAGGTAAGGTGGGGAGGAGGCAGCTGGAGGGGTCAGGGCATGCTGCAGGGAGGAGGAAGAGGTGGAGGAGACCAGAGGGTGAGGGGGAAAGCACAAGCTTTGGGGGAAAAGGGTGGAGGGGCAGGCTGCAAGTTGCCCTCTCACGCACCCCCAAATTCTCCCTCTGGCCGTGTGGCCCCTCTGTCTCCAAATAAGCCATTCCAGCAAGGGGTTGGTAGTGGAACGGCTTTGGCTTCAGCCTGCAGCCCAGGGCCAAAGCCAGGAGCTGAGCTGCCGTCTGCCCCGGACTGGTACTTAAATCAAAGGTGAGGCCTTTTTTCCCCTGTGCTAACTGAGGGGGAAAAGCATCATCTTGGATTTGAGTAAATACATTAAAGTAGAAGATAGGATTTTTCAGTGGGCTGTTTAACGCAAGTCAGGTAGCGCTATAGTAATACCACCTTCTGTTTTTCCCTAGTGGTTGGGAAATGTCTTTTTTATAGTACTTTAACTTATATAATGATGATAACCTAGTATTTCAGGTGTGTGTGTATATAGATATTATCTCTATATATGCAGAGATATATGTATATTTATATATCTAACTTTAGCTGTATATCTATATGACATCAGCGTTCTGTTGTTTCCATAAAACTGAGGCTTGAGCTCATTTCTAGTTTTGATAAGACCATACAAAAAACCCCTTGTGATCTCGTAAAGTCAAAGCTTGTCTGATAAGTCGCAATAAGATTCAATTATGAAAAGCAGCATTTGGGTCACACATGGCTCTTCGTATTTCAAGGATTGTAAACCTAATTTTTGTGAATTTCATTCAGACCAAATTTGGATACGTTCTCATGTTTCTACTACTAGCTTGTGTAGCCTATTCTGCTACTGTGTGTAAGAGCTGTAGTGTATTCCATCAAGCTTATAGGCCAACTAGTGCAAACAATTAATGCTGAGTTCAGAATGTGGTCTGTTGCAGTACTTTGGGGTAGTCTTCACTGTAGTCTGATGGGGAAGATTGTAATGAACTTGATGAGATTTTATGCATGTCTAAAATTTCGTCTTTAAAATATTGAGTACACAAAAGGTGATATATTAAATAATTGTGTGAATTGATTTTAATTGGTCAGTTGAATAGGTGAGTTTTTTAAATTTCAATATTGAAAACCTCAATTGAATCTTAGGTCTGAGCAACTTTCAGTTTTAGAGACATGTAGGTGAGATTCACTGAAGCTCACAGCTACTTTAAGCGAGCTGTAAGGCATTGATTTAAACAACATAACATTAATTAACATAATGCCTGGCCAAGAATAGTATGCATCTGTAGGGTTAACTTTTCAGTTTGGTAGTCTTTCATTTTATTGTTTGTATATATTGAGCATAACACCATGTAGTTTTCCTTAATATGCTGGAGTTTGCATGAAAAAGCATAAGGTTTGGTTAAAAAGTCAGTGATTTCAACCTAGTCTTTTATAACCGTATCACTTGCATGATTCTTTCTATGTTCAATGTGCTTTAAACCCAACAGCTGTTAATACTAAGATAGCCCATTATTTAAGCAGTGTAATTTTTTTGGTAAAGATTACACAATGACCGTACAAATTTCTCATTTCATGAAATTTTACCCAGCAATCCTTTTGTTCAACCCTCTTTCTAAACTGAACTGCTAAGGTTTTGTCTTCTCCCACTCCAGTGAATAGTGTTTCCTCTTAAACTTTAACCTTTGATCCTCTCTCACCCAACTATTGACATCTGGTCATTATTTCTTTTACTGCTTTCCACCCCCTGTTGTCAGACGGACTGTTCTGTTGTCTAAAACACTTGATAGGTGGACAGGTTTATATAATTCGAGGTGAGTTCCTGTAGAGACTAATTGGATGTTGTCTTTTTCATGCAAAAGAAAACTTGCCAGCAGTAAAGCTGTCCACGGCTGTCTGTGTTGGTTTCCAAAAAATGTACATTTATTATCTGTGGTACTTTTAAAAGTAGAGGTAGCACTTATCTCTGATTATGGATGATGGTATTTCAGAGTATCTACAAAGTGGAAACATGCAATGAGTTCTTTTCTATATGGAATATAGTCTTTGAATAATCTTCCTTTCATTTAAATGACAGGAATAAAAAAAAACACTTTTTAGATAATTTTATATTTCTTAAAATCAGTTATAACTTTGTAAAATGGACATGCTGTATCCAGTAGCATTGGTTGGTGCTTTAAGACAAATGAGGAAAAAATGCAGTTTTAAGAACGAGGTTTTATCACTCAAATGCATGGTGTACAAAATGCATTTTACATTTTATATTTTATACATTACATCATTTTTAAAAGTGCTTCCTAAAAGCCCCAGACAAGCTACATCTTAAAGAGATGCTTGAAATTATGCTAAAATGTATTTTCTCTCCCAAAGTACATTCAGAGTACTCTTGCATGAAACTAAGAATTATAAGAGTGATATGCTCCATTTGACACATTTGGCTAAAGTTTGGTCTTTAAATGTGAACAGACCCAAAAGGCTCTAAGTAAGAAACCACATCCATGCAGAGATCTTTTTTTTTTTAAGCATTTCACCCTGAGCTGTTTTAATGTCATCGCTGCATAGCAACATTCATTTTTCCTCTTCATTAGTTGTATTCATTCCATTTTGTTTATTCTTATTATCTGAGAGCTCCGTGGTATGCTTTACAGTGTTGTGGCTGGTTGGAGCTTGCTAAGTGTTAATGCTATAGAAGTCTGCTTAGTGCAAATAAATTGGGAATGCTGGTGCAGGGGAGGAGGGGAAAGGATTATGAGGTATACCTTAATCTTCACTCATTAATATAGTACAAATACCTGCTAAGTTGTTGTTATACTGAAAGTATTTTTGTTTATTTAGCATCATCTTCACATTATAACAACATGTGTCCAGACTAAGCTATATTCAATCCACATGGTATACACCATATCCTTATATAATGTGTTGTTAGCAGATATTCTTGGGTCAAAGATATCTGACATTCTGAAATATTATTTATTTTGTAGATACATACGTTAAGTTAACTCTGCTGAATTCCATGGGTCAGGAGATGTCCAAATGCAAAACGTCGATTCGACGAGGCCAGCCAAACCCTGTGTATAAAGAAACCTTCATTTTTCAAGTGGCACTATTTCAGCTTTCAGATGTGACGCTCATTCTGTCTGTGTACAATAAACGCAGCATGAAACGAAAAGAAATGATAGGCTGGATTTCTTTAGGTCTCAACAGCTCAGGAGAAGAGGAATTAAATCATTGGACTGAAATGAAGGAATCGAAAGGACAGCAAGTATGTAGATGGCACACGTTACTAGAATCTTAACGGACAGCACAAGGGGCAGTTGTGGTTCCAGGGAGTTCTGTGTTTCAACAAGATCGTCCTTTAGTCATGACTAAGGGATCTCTTGCAGAAGTGAAGAAGTAAACATTCCACCTTAAAGAATGCACAACATGCTACGGAGCAAAGCATCTTATACATCTTTCTCTCTTAATTATCAGATACCTCACTGGTGTCAGATAAACCATACTATCCACAGACGAGACAGGAATCCCTCCATCCACCTGATGCTTTCAGTATTGTGTTGATTTGATTTGATTTTCTGTTTAGCAATTCAGAAATATTTTATGTAAAAATCTCCAAATCATTGTAAAATCTTTCTACCGTGTTTTTAGTGTTCTGATGTAGCTTAAAAACTGCTAACGTTCAGATTTAGGGACACTGACGTTTAATGCTAGAAAAATTAAGCTGTGAAACAAAAATCACCACTGGGAAGGAAGCTTAATATTATTGAATATATGAATATTTTATTTTAGATTGATTTTGTCTTCAAGGCATTTAGTTGATTTCACTTTTCATTTCTGATATGAAGTTAGTTTGAAAAACACTAGGACTCTGTGGCATTGGGTGAGCTTTGAAATAAAATAAATATTTCTACAGTTTGACAGGAACAAGATCTGTGTTATGGCATAAGTTGGGTTTTCCCCATTTGCTTGTGATTCTGCCTAATGCAGAGAGACCAGGTCACTGTTCTGGTCCCTTGCACGTCTTCTTAGACAGGTTGTACTGTAAAACTATGTAACTTTCTGTTGAAAGCATTTCCTGTATTCTTGTATTCCAATATAGGAAACACATAGGGCATGTCTTTACCTAAAATATCTTTTCAAGAAATAGTGAAGATTGTCAATACTGTGAAGATTATGTTAAATGACCACAAATGAAACAGTAATAGTGTTTGAAGATGAGAGTGATTCTATGATTTTGGGCAAAAGTAGGTTACTTCTGTCTCCTGTGACTGGTCATAAGCATGTTTGGGTTCCAGGGAACAGATGTGCCGGATCAAACCTGGAGTTTCCACTCTTATTGCTGGAGAAGGGATATAAAAATCTAGTAGTGAGTTATTTCCCTGTTAGTTGTCAGGGCTTGAATGGAAAACTGAGCTGCCCAAGAGACAGACTGTGCTTAGCTTGCATTTTTAAGACCAGCACTATTGGCTTTTCAACACTGTCTTGGCAAAGCAGCTATACAGTGTGGTCAGAATCTGCCTTTGGATAAATACTCCTAACTTCCATTGAAGTGAGGAGGATATATTTATATCTGAGAGTAGCATTTGGCCTAATTATTGTTAGTACTGTAAAGTCTCACTAATTCACACTACCTGCCAGATCCAGTTCAGACTACTGAAAGCTGTTAATTATTGAGTAAGCACTGACACACATTTTAAAAAAAAATCAGAATTCACAAAACGTAATTGCTCTACTCCTTTTCCCTTCCCTCCCAGTATAACAAGTTCATTTAATTTTAATTGCTGCTACATGGTATGTGAGTAAATGTACCCTACTTTATTTCTGAGAAGTAATGAAGTCCTACTACCATGAAACCTCCCTGGCCATTGTAGCACATAGTGGTGTGCTTTACTGAGGAGCTGATTAATGAGCTCTGTAGTAAAGCGCCACTGTCTATACAAGGGCCAGTATTAGAGCACAGTATGTTAACTCTGCCATAAGATAGTATTGTCGGGGACAGTATTATTTTATGGCGGAGTAATTATCTCTGCTAAAATGCTCGTGTAGACAGTGACTGGGGCTGGCTGGGGCATGAGGGTGCATAAGTGCCGGGGCTGTCTACTGCCCAGCCCTGCACTTTAGCACCCTCGTACCCAGGCCAGCCTATCTGCTGCTCAACACCAGTAGCTGGAGTCCAGGGCTGACTCCCTGAGTCCCTGCCAGGCTAGGGCTGCTCCGCCCCGGCTCTAACCGCTGTGGTCCCAGGTGCACGTGAAGACGCTGCACCCAGGAACAGCTGACTCTGGCACGAACTGTACCAGAGTTTACCCCTGCAAATTAATTGGACTTGTAGATGTGCCTAGTGAGAGGTAGGGTGAAGTCCTGGATAATTTTGGTGAGAATTTGTGATTCAATATATTGAAATATATTCAGGTTAAGAAAATAAATATTTTTAGCTTGAACTCTCCTAAACTTGTTGAGAAAGAAATGTAAGATGCACAGTCAAGTATTATGTGATTGGATACAGAGGGCATATGGTTTTAAAGCTCTTTCATATAGTTCTCAAAATTTCACAGTGATTTCATCAGCCCTTAAGGAATCTCCACTTACAGTTTTCATTTTTTGTCATTTTCATACCATACCAGTTGAAGTTGCTAATGCAATCTGATGGTTGTATTTGCAGAACTGGGCCTTCAGTTTTATTGGTTAAGACTTCTCAGAATGTTCTCACAATTTTCCTTTATTGCGTGTTGCTGTTTTGTGTATGACACGGGTAACAAACAATCCAGTATCATTGATTAACCAGAAATGCTGTTAGTAATCGTACAGAATTGAATGTTCCTTCTGGCTCTGCTTGTTGCTAAGTGTGTGAACTTAAACATTTTTAAATGACAATCTGTACTAACTTTATATACATAAAGACTACTCTTTACCCACCTACACACTTCCCATTTCATTCTAGTTTTATTTGCAATACAGGCATATGTTGTTCGCTGAGTTACCGCGGTGAAACCTATCTTAAGTGATAACAAAGTTCAGATAAAAATCAGTTGCCGAATGGAGCTGTTCTAATAAAAATTGTCCTCGTTTCTGGATATTTTGAGACAGACAACTTTTGGTCTTAGGAGGCTATTAAGAATTGTTTCACTATAAAGTAGTGAAATACTATTTTGAAATTTGTCATCAGTCCTGAACAAAGGCATTACATCGGAGACTCAGAGAGATCTCAGGTCACCTCTAAAAAATAAAACTAAGTTCAGTTAATTTGTTGAATAATGTATAAAAAGTAACCAAAATACACTAACCTCTGTTACTGCAAAAATTCCTTTCTGTATATCACATTGGTTAGAGTTTACATTTTTATACACAACTCACTTATGTAATAGAATTTTAATTTAGACAAACAGGTTTACATTAGTGCATGTAGAATGCATCTAGCAAGATTCCTGTCATGCTGTTTTTTATTCCTAGGTCAGTGTTAAGATTTGTGCTTCTTGTTTTGTTTTATTTGTTGGCTCTGTATGACATTATCCTTCCATATTTGAAACCTGCCTTTAGAGGAAGCTTTTTTAATATATTCGGTGACTGGTGTGCAGAGTAATTTGTATGCATTCATAGAGAATAAACCTCAACCAAGGAACAGACATTCCAGAGAACAAAAAAATTGGCATGCACCAGAAACAAATCAGAAGAGGGCCTTTGTGCTTTCTTCATAATCATGCATGATTCTTTTTTGTTCTTTGTTCTTTTTGTTGTTGCTTACCTTGCAGATCTTTGTTTTAAGGGTAGTTAGTACTTGTATGAATTTAACGCATTATTCAGTCATTTTCACTTCAGTGTATTATGTACGGATTACAACCTTTGATTTGGTATCAATGTTGTTTTTCATAAAGCACCACAATGGTGTTTTACTCCTTGGATTGACATAAAACAGCAAGGTTTTTTGCAGAAACTGCACTCAGATATATTTTCTTTTCATATACATTCAGTATATGAAGAATGAATTAGAATTCTCCATTCTCTCTCTCTCACTCACTGACTCACTCACACACACACACACACACACACTCTCTCACTCACTGACTCACTCACTCTCACACACACACACACACACACACACACACACACACACACCCCCCATATAGATATATATAGAGATATAGCTCTATATCTATCTATCTATCTATAGATCTATATCTATCTATCGATCTATAGACACGCACACAAACACCTGTGTGTATATATAGATATATATATTTGGTTCTTAAGAGTTATACCTTTCAAATAGAATGATAAAACATGAGACAATCGTAGAAAAAGTAGGGTGGGAAGAAACCTCAGGAGATCACCTGGGTGAACTCCTTGCTCAAGGCAGAATCATCCCTATCTTAAACCATCCTAGATAAATGTTTGTCTAGCCTGCTCTTAACTTCCAAGGATGGAGATTCCACAATCTGTCTAGATAATCTGTTCCTATGTTTAATCATCTTCATGACAAGAAAGTTCCACCTAATATCCTACCTAAATTTCCCTTGCTTCAATTCAAGACCATTACTCTTTGTCCCATCTCCTGTGGCTACAGAAAATAGTCTACCGCCATCCACTTTATGGATGGTGATAATACCACCCTTCAGGTATGTGCGAACACTGATCAAATCTCCCCTCAGAATTCTCTTATTTATAGTAACTAATTCCAGTTTTTTCCAGCCTTTCCTTCTAAATGCAATGTTTTCTAGGCCTCTAATCACTTTTGTTGCACTCTACTTTTGAATTTGTTCATGTCTTCTTTGAAGTGCAGTGCATGAAACTGAACGCAAGGTGCTAATAGGCATGCAGCTCCCCGGTACAACTCATGGTGCTTTGCAGGAAGCGCCATGTGTTATAGCACTCCCCCTGACCCAACAGATGTTGGCTGTTGGGTCTGGTGGGTTGGGGGATCAAGCTCCAGTTTAGGGTGGCTGTATGTCTGCAGCTACTCACCCCTAGCCCTGCCTCTCCTCCTTCCCAGCTCCAGTGCTGTCTTCAGAATGGGAGGGAGGGAAGGGAGGTTGCCCAGCCTGTGCTGGAGGTTGGGAAGGGTGGATTGGAGCCCCCTCACCTTGGGGAAGCTCCAGTTCACCTGCCCCACCCTCCAGTGCAGGCTGGGCAAATCCCATATGGAGCTTCCTCTGTTCCCTTTTTCCCTTCCCATTCTGAAGATGGTACTGTGGCATGGGGCCCCCAGCCCTGCTACTGGAGCACACTGACAGATATTGATGAAGACACTCTGCTTTGGAGTGCCTTCATTTGAACCCTCATATAATGAGGGTTCAGATTGTCACACAATTGGGCATTTTTAAAGTGTTCTGCAGCCGTGCACTTGTCAGTGCATGGCTGTACAGCACTTCAGGATCCTGATTGTGTGACAAACTGTCACTTCTGTTAGTGCCCACAGTATTCCAGGTGAAGACCTCCCCAGTGCTAAATAGGGCAGAAGAATCACTTTCTTGGACTTGCAAGAGATGTTTCTATTAATACAACCCAGTATTCTGTTGGCTCGGTTTGCAATAAGAGCATGCTGTTGGTTCGTATTCATCCTTTTCTGCAGTACTGCAGCCTCGTCAGTAATTCCTTATACTGTACTTGTGCATGTGATTGTTCTGTCCTAAGTGCAGGACTCTGTACTTCTCTTGACTGAGTTTCATTCAATTAATTTTGGACCATTTTTCTAGTTTATTAAAGTAATTTGTATCCTTATCCTGTCCTCTAGATCAGCGGTTCCGAAAGTCTGACAGATTGCTCACCAGCATTTTAAAACGATACAGCCTTAAGTACCATCAGCAAATTTTTCATATACATAGGTAACAGACTATGTATTAAAACAACATCAAACCCTTTAGTAACCCTAAAACAATGTTTTATCAGTTATGGTAGCCATATAAAACAATTGTACATTGGAAAAAAGAGATGCTTTTGGGGATGTCTTTAGTGGGAGGGGTGAGCTTGCTTAGCAGAGCACAATATTCGGATATCTGGTGAAATCTTGGTTAATTTCAGCCTGAGGTCTGATTCTACATTTAGCTTCATCCAGTATTTGTTTTTAATGACAATCTAGAAAGTCCAGTTTCACACAGATAGGCTGTGCAGAATGGAATAAAACATTTCAGTGCCCTGTCTGAAATTTGGGGATAATCCTCTCTTTTCCTCAGCCCCAAATCACCAAGATGGATTCTTCTGAATTCCAGCTGAAGCTCAGCATCACATGAAACTTCTCTTAGCTTCTCTTTCCTTAGCTGAGAAGTGGTTGGGCAAACAGTTTTCTTCAAGTGAAAATGGATCTCTGATCCAGTTTTCTTTTGTTACATCTTCAGGGAAATAGTCACTAAAATTTGAGATCAGACTAAGGCAGTGCTCTTTAATATCAGTGATCAGGTCAAGGTGAAGTTTGCGTTCATTTTCAGTGAGAAAAGTCTGATGTTGCAAATGATTGACAATTTATTCTCTCTCATATAATAAACAGAAGTTTTTTAACAAAAGCTCTTATTTTGTCATGAACGGTTAAAGTGGTTATTTTCAGGTCTTGTAGACTAGCATTCAGTTCGTTAAGATGTATAAATATGTCTGGCAAATAGGCAAGCCTTGCCAACGACAGCTCATCCGTGAAATGGTCTGAAAACTCAAAATTAAAGTCACCGACACAAATCTGCAACTCAGAATGGAATTCAAACACCTAGGTCAACACTTCCTATGAGAGAGCCATCTCAGTTTGGTATGGAGAAGCTTTTCATACTCATTCCCCATTTTGTTGCACAGAAGGGAGAACAATCATGAATTGAGTGGCTTTGCTTGTATGAAATTGACCACCTTTTACTGCCTGATCTAAAACAGCCTTAAGATTGGCAGGCATTGTTTTGGCTGCTAGAGCCTCGCTATGTATACTGCAGTACATGAATTTGGCAACAGGTGCAAATTCTCTTACTTTTGCCAGAACACCTCCTGACTTGTCAGACATGGCTCGTGCCCCCTTGGTGCACATGCCAATACAATTTTGCCACTAATCTGTTATTGATTATGAAGCAATCCAGTTTCTTGAATATCAGTTCTGCTGTTGTACAACTTGGCAGAGCTTCACAAAATGAAAAAAAAATCCTTAAGTGCCATATCTGCTTCAAACCTTGCATATGCAAGAAGTTGAGCAAAATTAGTTATATCTGTACTTTCATCTAATTGCAACAAAAAGTACTTGCTTTTCTTGACGCTTTCAATTAGTTTTTCTTTCACCTGACAAGCCCTATATTCAATTCTTCTTGATACTGTGTTGTTTGACAAAGTAACAATGTCCAGCTGTTTTGCGAATTTTTCTCCAAGAACAGATTAAACAATGTCTTTTGCAGCAGGAAGCATGAGAGTCTCAGCTATCGTATGTGCATTCCCCATCTGAGCGATCCTTAGATTTACTTTGTATGATGCTTCCCAAGCCCTTACATTAACACCACTTAGAGCAGTTATAGTTTTCTTACTGTCTTGGAACTGCCTTAGTTTTCTTTTTAAAAAATCAAGAGATATTTGTCTTTAAGAGTTATGCTTTGTATGAAGATGCTGCTAAAGAAATGAAGGTTTCATGCAATGGTTTGAAAGGCGTTCATAGCAAATCTTGCACAGGTATTGGTTCACTTTCTTCACCACTCCTGGTAAATCCAAATAACTGGGATCATACCTTCTGGTAATCTTGCGCTTATCAACTGTTGTAGCAGTCAGGCATGTTTCGGAAGTGTGAGTGTCCTCCTCACTTAATCCAACGATGTGAGCTATACAGCTTCCCAGTAAATCAGCAGCTTCTCGTAGGTCCAGCTCGCTTGATTCCTCAGAGGTCCCCTGTGTTTCAGTGTACTTTCACTTCAGAGAAGTTGAAGTCAGCCACCTTTCCATTGTGGTATTACTAGTATTTATGCAACAGCTTTCGATTCTAACACCTGCTTTGCATAACACTACAGGAGCTCAAACCATAGAAAATTA